GGAGAAGAAAAAAAAAAATCCACTTCAAATGTCCCCCATTTCATGCATGTTCAATATTTTATGCAAAGGTGTAAGAGATGTCTTCCATTTCCCTTCATGTGCAAGTTCATGCGTGTGATAGCATGTGGATTAAGAGTTAAGTAAGTCTTGAGATGTATTAAGAAATGTCAAACCCTGCAGGTGGATAATTATCCGGCATAATGATTAATGAACTGAGTGGTACTAATTTCAGAAATGAAGAAGTCAATTTAATTTTATTATCAGTAATTAAATTAATTGACGGACGTTATATCTTAAACATAGGGAGGTAATTCGGTCAATGGGATTAATTAATTAATTAATTAATTAGTTAATTAATCATTTGGAGGTTTGATTTATTGAATAAATTGGAGCCAAATGGAGAGAGTAATAATAATATTTTTGTGGGATATATTATTATTATTATTTAATTCTAATTAAGATTTTAGGAATTAATTTTATTCCATGAATAATATTCCATGATTAGGAGAATATTCTTTCTAGAATATTACCCAGGGTTAGGAGAAATGAGAGTCTTCTAGAAGGTGATGTTAGGAGAAATGAGACATGACCTAATTGGGATTAGTATATGGATTAGAATTAGGATTCCTTAGCCTAATGGAATATGCCCATATTTGGCACCTCCTTAAGGTCCCTAATGGAATCTATAAATACACCATGTCCCAACCTCTTCCCCTATTATTGATTGAGCTCAATTTTAAGGTCTTATACAAGAGTGGAAATCGAGATTAATACATATTCGAGAGTTAGGGAATTTCGATTAATCGCACCACCAAGATTAGTTGAAGTAGGTGTTAAGGTAATCCATTAGAAGATCTTAAGGTGATTTATTTCAAACCTTGAAGATCTACTTTTTTCGGCCATCACCACTAGCCGACCGCCGCCGTCGACATAGCCGGAAAATCGTCGCCGCCACCTATCGCGACCGAGATCCGCCTGAGCCCAGCCGCGCGCCGATCGTGAGCCCCGCCCACAACCACGCGCAGTCCAGCGCCGTGCCAGTTCCCAACTGCGAAGTCCCGT